CACACATCTCATTGTGTGAATATCTTTCTTCTGAGCGGTTTCTAAGGTTTAAGTGGATGTGTGTTTTGGTTCATCCTCGGTCCCTCAGCTCAGCCGACCGCTCCATGTGGGGCTCAGGGAGGAGAGAGCATCTGCCCCAGAGGCGGAAGGACGGGCTTTGGGGACACCTTTTGGGACCCCCCGCCACCCCTCGCCAGGGATGCTCCTGTCGGGGACAGTCCTTTTCTCGCCCTCACCTCTGACCCCAGACCAGCTTCAGGGCGACTCCACTGCTTAATATTTTTCTTTAATTTGACTCAGTTTTTAAACCTTATTGGGCCAATGGGCAAATTATGGGTCCTTTAAAGTAAGTACATGGCAAAGTTTGAAGAAGTTCCTCCCGGCACCACGCAACTGCCCCAGTACCTGGGGTTCTCTGCACCATCCTGTGACCGTGTCTGTCCTGCCTGCCTTCCTCCCACCTGCCTCTGGGACGAGTGTCACCCCTGAGCGGGTGGTTCCCTCCTCTCTGCCTGGCTCGGTCCTGGCCACCAGCAAAGGCTCAGTTCCTGCCACGCCCCCTCCTCCAGGAAGGCCCCCAGATCACTCCTCATTCAGCTTCCCCTTGTCTTAGGGATTCCCAGGACACCTTGTTTGTACCCCAGGGGATGCTAGAATGTTCTAGAGTGTTGCAAGTTCTGGTTGCTGTAGCCCAAAGACCCGAGGCCCTGGTACCTGGGGTTCTGATGGAAACTGGAACGTGCTTAACCAAGGTGGTCACTGACACTCCCTGGCGGTCCTCGGCTCACCCGGATGTCCGCTGTGTCAGCAAATACCACTGCTCCCTGTGTGCTGGGCACGGCCACAGTGTGGATCAGATAGGCCCCCCCCCCCGCCGCTGGCTAGCTGTGGGACCCTGGGCAAGTCACACAACCTCTCTGGACCCCCAGCGTTCCAGCCTCTGGAACAGGCGGACCCCGACCTGCTTTGCCGCCAGTGCCTGGGGCTCGGCTGAGACGGGGGAGGTGCACGGTGAATGGAGTCGGCCAGGGTGGTGTCCCCTTGTGAGAGCAGCGCGTGCTCGCCCGTGCAAGCCCGTTGCCCGGGGGCCGTCCTGCTGCGGCCACTGTCGTGTCTCCCCCTGGAGGCTCTGTCGGTCTGGTCCTCGGGTCCCCGGCCCCCATGCGTGTCCCGGGCCGTCCGCTCTCCGTGCAGTGGCCGGAGGGGTCTTTCTGAAATGCGTATCTGCCACAAGGTTCATCCCTGCTCAGATCTCCGCCCCGGGGGTGAAGCCCTTGACCCCCACCCTCGTCTGACTGCTGTGCTGGGCTTCTGCGCAATCCCGGGCTCGGCCACTGGGGGGCGAGCTGTGCACACAGGTAGCTCAGAGGCTGTCGTCAAAGGGGTGCCTCGGGTCACCCCTGGCTCCTTGAGTTGAGTGAAGTGATTTTAAATTGGGGAGTCGTTATTTGCGGTCCTCAGCCTGGCTCCGGGACCTGTAACCCCTAGAAATTGTGTTGCGTGTGTGTGTCTGGACTTTATTCTGGGAGGCATTTCCTCAGTAGTCTCTGATTTTCAAAGGAGTCTTAACCCTCTCTCTCCAGGGGTCTTGGGAGCAAGAGTGACACCCCTGAAATAAAAGCCAGGGTCACGTGAGGTTTGTCCTTAGCAGGTAGCAGAAGGGACTCTGGCCTGGGAAACAGGCTGCCTGGGTGCCTGTCCGCTCTGCTCAGGCTGCGGGGCGCCTGCAGTTGCTCACTCCTCCGGGCCAGGTGTCACCCCCGGGAAAGGGGGGTCTCTAGGGACCCCCGTGAGGGTGGGAGAGAAATGGACGTGGGGCGTTTTCTACGGAGCCCGGGACTGTGATGGAAGCCCTCGGATGCCGAGCCTCCAGCAAGCATTTATTAGACACCACCTGTGTACAGAGCACTTGCTGGGCACTGATGCAGATTCATTCATTCATTCATTTCTTCATTCAGCACATGTAGTTCGGGCACCCACGGTGTCAGGCACCCAGGTACGTGTGGGGCGTTGTCTTGGGTTCCCGGGAAGGAGACGCTGTGACAGAGATTCCTGGCCTAGGGGTGGCCCAGGAGGACACCTGGGACTCCGGGACCAGGGGCAGTTCTCCAAGGGGGACCCGCGGGTGCTGGGTTTGGGATCAGAAAGTGCCCTAAGCCAGAAGGTACAGAACCGGAAAAGGGGGATTTGGATCCGGTTAGGGCAGCGCCACCCTCTGCTTTGGAAATACTGTCGACAGAGCAACAAGGCTCTGCCTTCCGGGCTTCCGTCCTGGCGGCAACGGTAGGTGAACAAGTACGGTAACTCCAGAGGGTGACGGCAGCCAGGAAGGGAAGAAAAGCCAGGTGACAAGGCGGAGAGGGGGTGCTGGGGGAGAGGGGACTACCTAGATGAGAGAGTGTGTCCCAGAGGTTTCCTCTGGGAAGTGCCAGGTATGCTGGCACCTGAAGGGTCGGAAGGAACCCGGAAAGAGAGCTGCAGGAACTGGGGCGGGCATGTGCAAAGGCCCCGAGGCAGCAAACTGCGGAACGGAACTGAGGGCAGTGGGGGGGGGGGTGGCTGGAGTGTAGCAAGCCGGGAAGGTGGGTCTGAGTGGAAAAAACTCGGATTGTCCTCTGCTCTCACCCACATCGCCAGCAGGGACCAGAGAAGCAATCAGTTCTGCAGCGGACGAGCTGGGTGTCCCGTAGGTCAGTTCAATTCTGACACTGTCTGTATACCTGGGTATATTCGGGGCTGCAGTGACCAGAACATGGGTGAAGTGGGAGGCGGGGCGACGGGCAGAGACAGCCAGCAGGTCGCAGGTGTCTGGGTGACAGCAGGGAGGAGAGGGCGGTGCCTCTGACCAGGGCGGGAAGCCAGTCCCGTCCTGTCCCCAGCGCAGGGCTCAGCGGGCGCTTGTTGAGTGGCTGCGAGCTTCCCGTGGGGCTGCAGAGGAAGAAGTGGGGACCCTGGGGTTCTCGTCACCCCACCGGCTCGTCCCCCACCCAGGCACCCGACCCCGGGGCTGGCGGCTTCTGAGCAGAAGGCGCCGGGCCAGGCGTCCCCGAAACAGCCACAGCGGCCATGCCAGGGCCACGGTGAATGCTTGGTGGCAGCACCTGTCCTGTGGAGCCCTGGGACGGTCCCGCACTGCGGGGGTCTTGGGGGGACCGAGGGTGGGGCCCTGTGAGGGCTCTGGGGGCTCCCCGGCCTCCTCTCTCCACGTGGAGGTGAGCACAGCACCCTACAGTTTAGCAAACCACTCCTGTGCCCCGCTCTCGCCAGGGGACCCCTGAGCAGCCCCGAGATGTCCGGAGCCGGAGGGCCAGGCCCACTGCACAGTGCAGGAGACCGAGGCGCGTTCCCTGCCACCAGCGGGGTGGCGTCCTGGGCTGTCGCTCTGCAGGCCTGGGGCACCTGCCGTGGCCTTTGATCTGTGTTTGCGAGGTGAGCAGCTGGTCTGCCTCCCCATCTCCACTCCGAGCTCCTGAGGGCAGACCCGGGCCTGCCGGTGCGTGGCGCTCTGTGCCTGCCATGAGTCTTTGTTGCATAAATGGACAGATAACGACGGGCGCAGGTTGGGGAGGTGGCCGCCAGGGGGCGCTGCAGGTCCAGCCAGCGGGCGGTGGGTCGGGGTGCTCAGGCTTGCCCCGCCCCCAGCGCCCCGGCCTGTGCAGGGCTTTGCAATGTCTGCTCTTTGAGGGCTTGGATGTGGTAAGGTGAAAACTGGAAAGCCGACGCCCCAGGGCTGCGGGAGCTCTGCGCCCCTGGGGGTTCACGCTGAGGAGGCTACCAGCCTCTCCCACCGACGGCCGTGCGCCGCACTTGTGTGGGCTCCCGGGTTGCGGCGTTCCCGGCAGGCAGCGTCCAGGGGGGCAGGACCTGGTCCCGAGAGGTGGTCATGATTTTCCAGTCTGGGCGTCGGGGCTTCAGAACGGGGCAGCCATGCTGTGGGGCTCCAGGGAAGGCCGGCCCGCCAGACGCCGTCTGTGGCCCCAGGCCGGGCAGTCGATGGAAACCTCAGGCACGGAGGAGGGACGGTGTCTCGGTGTCTCGCAGGCTGCCCGGAGCGGGACCTGCCCCGGCCTCTCCTGCAGCACATCGCCGCTGCCGTTCACGAGCGTTTTCTGTGCGCCGGGCGCGGTCTTATGCCCTTGCTGTGGTCGTTTAGTTGTCATCATAACCCGGGTACGTGACTGCGTCATCATCCTCATCTCACAGATGAGACCGAGGCACAGAGAGGTCGCTGTCCAAGGTCACAGCGCTGGTAAGGGGTGGAGTCTGGATTTGTATGGTGCCAGCCGGGCCCAGGGCACGGGTGCTTCACGGCGACCTGACACGCCCCAGCGTGCAGTGCCCAGAGCCGCTGCTGTGGCTGCCACCCACACCCGCTGCTTTCCGTGTCCCTTCTGAAATCGCACTCAGAGCCCAGCTTCAGGGAGCCCCATTCCCAGGCCAAGGCAGCGAGTGCTCACAGGCCAAGCGAGGGACATACTGAGCCGCCCGGGACGGGAAAGGAGGTTTGCAAGCTTCGTTTCCCCAGATCCAATCCCGACGGCTTCTGGAAAGAGGCCCCCGCGCCAGGCATGTGCCCGTCTGCCCACCCGGAAAAGCCCCCAGCGGGGAGCGGCCTGCAGGCTCATTCCAGAGAGGTGGAGGAGGAGAGGAGAAGGAGAAAGAATAAACATGCCTAAAAATAGCGCCCCGCTCTGCAAGCCCACGACAAACAGGGAAGGGAGGGCGGGAGCCGGAGGGGAGATGCCCCGGAGCTTGGGAAGCCGGAGAGTGAGGCACACCCCCCTCGGTGGGGTTTCTCTGCCTGTCCTTGCTGGGAGCAGGGCTGGCTGAGGTCCTCAGGGTGAAGGCCAAACGTCCCCGGAGTCAAGAGCATTTCCAGATGTCCCGGCACGCTTGCCAGGAAGCCTCAGCCACGGGAAACCTGGCGGCGTTCAGGAGTCAGGAGGCCTTTAAGATGGAGCTGTTTTCTTGTTTCTTTTTTTTTTCCCTCCCACTTTCAGGAACAGATGTTTGAGCAACATTGGCCACGATGCACATTTCTGCAAACTCGGTCTCATTTGCCGCCTCAGCTTCCATTACGAAACGGGCCTTCTACTCCCCCGGGAAAACATCCAGCAGATGGATTGGAACAGCTCCACGGAAGACGCTCAGCCTTAAGCCGGTGGCCGGGCCTGGGTGGTGTCTCAGAGCTGCGCAGTCCCTCTGCTTTAGTGACCTGCCCCATCTGTTCTTCCTGCACCGCAGGAATTTCAGCCATTGCAGGGGACGGGGACCCTAGCATCTCTCGGCCTGCTGCGCGCTGTGCCCGGCCGTGTGGTCTGTCTGCCAGCGGCAGCAGCAGCTGTTGGAGGGACGGGCACGGCTTCCTTCCTGACGTCGGCCTCGGGGACTAGGCAGGGGGCGGGTTTGGGAGCTGGAGCCATGTGCCACGTCCCTCAGGCGAGTCTCTTTGCCCCTTCCGTGCCTGTGCAACAGGAATTTTAATTCCTGCCCCACCTATTTCGTGAGGGCCATAAAGAAGGATATTTTACGCATTTAGGCTGGAAATAGTTTCGAAACTGTGACGAGTACTCTTGGAACAAGCCCTGTGACCCAGTGTGTGTCTGAGTGTTCACCAGGTCTAGTGGAGCTGAGCTGTAATACCGCACACCACCAGGAGGTGCCGCCGTCTCACGTCAAGGGCCTTCTTGTGTGTGAGTCACTGTGTGGGTTCCTGTAGACCGTGTAAAACCGGTTTCTTCACATGGAGGATTACTGCAGGTCCGTGGAGGCAAGTTCAAGTGCCTGCGGAGCCGCTGTGTCCCGTCCTGTTGGCGGCGGCCCTCAGCTGTGTCAGCTACACATTCATGCATTTTCTTCTCCAGGTCGACAACTACCCTGCATTTCTAGACCCTTCTCACCGGCGCCGAGCCCCCAGCATCCTCCAGCTGACCGTCAGACCTCCCGTCTGTGACTGTGTAGACGGCGGTTTCTGGCCCGGGCTCGGCTGACATTGGGGCTGGGTTATTCTTTACTGCTGTGCATTGTAGGGTGATGAGCAGCGTCTCTGGTCTTAACCCACTAGATGCCGGGAGCTTCCTCCGGCTGCGACAACCCCAAATGTCCGCAGATGTTGCCACCTGAGGGCACAGTCACCTGGTGGAGAAGCCTGCCTTAGCGTTTTCACTCTCCCCGGCATGTGTTTGGGGCAGTGGAGCTTTTCACAGCAAGAATTCAGCCTGACGTGGTGGCTCACGCCTCGAATCCTGCCTCTTTGGGAGGCCGAGGCAGGAGGATTGCTTGAGCCCAGGAGTCGGAGGCTGCAGTGAGCTGCGCTGACGCCACCGCACTCCAGCCTGGGTGACAGAGCGAGACTCTGTCTCCAAAAGAGTGAAAGTGGAAGCGTGAATGCACCGGGCCCTGCTTGCCCCCAAAGCATCGGGCTCCGTTCAGCGCCAGCGTCTCTGTCCGGGTCCCCTCTGGCGTCACTCCGAGGGCTCCGTTTGTCTTGTCCCCGAGGAGCCCCTCCCAGAAGCCTGTTCCCTCTGAACTTGGCACGTGTTTCTCCCGCCCCGAGGGACCCTGAGGAGCTGGAAACGGGATTTCCTGCAGGTGGCCCTTCCCCCGACCTCCCTGCCTCGTAACAGAATTCATTTCCTGATTAAAAAAAAATCGATGCGTGTCCCTCCGCACCAGCTGTTAAACTGTTTGCAGGACTGAGCTTGGCAGGCCGCTCACCCGTGACGGGGTGAGGTGGCCTCGGATTTGGGGGGAGGCGGAGAGGACCCGGGGGGCTGGTGGAGGCCTGGCCGGTGCCCTGACACCCTCACCTCCTCGCCACCTCCCTGCCACCGAGCACGCTCTCTCATTGAGGGGCAGGACACAGGGGGCCCCCAGACGCCCATTTGTCCCCGCTCATTTGCAAGCGCGGAATGACAGGGCTTGGGCCCTCCTGACGGGGCAGACCGCGGCGACCCCACGTGAGCTATTTATGGGCCATCTTTTCCAGCGTTGCTCGCTACTATAATTAAGAGATAATGTCAGTGGAAGAGAGCATTGTCACCGGGTAATGGTCTCCTGCTGCCGCTGCAGAAATGTCATGGCAAAGTCACAGCATCTGTCACAAATCAACGTTGGCGGGAAGACGCGGCGTTTGTCTTCGCAGCAGGGACGTCATCTCCGGGACAGCAACACAGCAGCGTCTTCGTGTCTCTCCTCCGGGGCGACGGACGCGGGAGCCCCCGCCCGCCCACTGCCGCCCCCAGCCAGCGCCGCTCTGCTCTGATGCGTCCAAGGTGGCCCGGCGTGCCGGCTCCCGTTGGGCCGGGCGTTTTCCGGCGTTTTCCGTGGCTGGCGGCAGCCCAGCAGGCTGGGCGGGAGCCGCAGTTGGCAGAAGTTCTCGTTCTGCCCCCGCGCCGGCCACGGGGAAGCGGGTAAGGACGGGCGCGTACCCGCGCACAGCCTCAGTTTGCGCATCGCCACCCGAGAGGGCCGGCCGCAGCGGGGAGAGCGGCGGTGACAGCAGCCAATCTGGGGGCGCCCGAGCGCTGGTGCCGGAAAGGGCCCTCTGCTCCGCGGCAGTCCCACGCCGCCCGGCTTCAGGGCGCGCCTGGCCGGCCGGCTTCCCTCCTGCACCGCTGGGCGGCCACCCGCCCCAGTGCGAGTCTGCGCACGCAGCCCCCGGCTGGAGCCCCGGCACCCTCAGGGTGCAGGCCCGCTCCACCATGGGGGGCACGGCCCCTGCTGACCGGCTCCAGCGGCGTTGTGATTCCTCCAGGCAGCCGGGCTGCGTCCCCGTTCCTACCCCTCCCACCGGGAATGACCTTCACCCTCGGGAACGACCTTCACCCTCGTTCCTTCCTCCTGGACCCCACCTTCTGCTCTTGCCCGCACCCGCCCCTCAGTCCGACTGCCCTCCACCCCTCTCAGGCCTCTGCCTTGACAGCTCCTCCTCCAGGAAGCCTTCCCTGCCCTCTCAGGCCTTGGCTGTGAGCCCCTCGCATGTGCCACGCCCGGGCTCTTTCACCTAGTCACACCGTGTAAGCGCTTGGGTCCTTTCCTTCTCCCGCTTCGGAGCCGTGGGCTCAGCTTTGCTGGAAGGTGTATCCCCGGATGCAAAGCGGCTGCTTCACGAGTATGTGCTGGAGCAGCCGAATCGGTGAATAAACAGATGGGCCTTTCCTGTGGGTTTGTATCAGTCGTCCGTTGGCAAAATCATGCTGCGTACCCAATCACCCCAAGTATCGGTGACCTCAGACCACAAGCGTGCATTTGGCGTATCTCTCTGCAGGTCAGCGACTGAGGCTGGGCTTGGCCGGGTGGTTCTTCTGCTCCAGCGGGATTGCCGGGCGAGCCGGGCTTCACTCCACACAACTGCCCTGGCAGGGTAGCCCGGCGCAATCTGCAGGGAGGGCGGCGGTCGGAGAACAAGCAGCCGCACTGGGCTTCCCTAGGCCTGGCTGTGCATGGCACCTTGTTGTTTTCATCAGCGAACGCCAGCCACAAGGCCAGCTCGGGTTCATGGAGTGGGGAAGTAGACTCTGCCTCTTTGGTGAGAGGGATTGGAGAGCCACCCGGCAAAGGGCGTGCACTCGGGGTGGGGTGTGGAATCGGGCCATCTGCGCCATCTACCAGGGAGTTCGAGTCACGTTCCTAAGGCAGCGCAGCAGGTGTCCAAGAAGGGCTGTGAAGGTGCAGCGATTCTTCCGGTGGTGACGGTGACAGTGGGGTTTTGCTTTTTTAATTGTGGCGAAATACGCAAAGCCTAAAATGTACCATCTTAACCCAGTGGCATCAAGTGCACGCACAAGGTTGCACAATGGGTCTCCAGAACATTCTCATCTTGCAGAACCGAAACTGTCCCCACCAGCCCCCTCCCCCGTCCCCACCAGACACCTCCCAGCCCCCTCCCCCATCCCCCCCAGCCCCCTCCCCCGTCCCCACCAGACACCTCCCAGCCCCCTCCCCCATCCCCACCAGACACCTCCCAGCCCCCTCCCCCAGCCCCGGCACAACCCCCCTTCCTCCCGTCTCTGTCTGTGAATTTGCCTCCTCCAGCCACCGCCTGTACGTGGGGTCATGCAATGCTGGTCCTTGTGCGCCCGCTGCAGTCCGCTCGGCGGGAAGTCCTCAAGGCTTGGCTGCGGTTGCAGCACAGGGCAGGGCTCCCTCCCTCCTCCGGCGGGCACTTTGCTGATTGGCCGGTGCACAGATTCTGCTTTGAGACCCTCCTTTCTGTTCTGTTAGGTGCGTGCCCAGAAGCCGCGTTGCTGGGTCCCAGGCAGGGTGGCTCTCAGGGTGGCTAGAAACCCCTCTGGGGCATCCACGCCGGTCCCTGCACTTGACAGAGCCGCGGTCAGTCGGACAGGCTCTGGGTTTGGACCCCCCAGCTCTGCCCTTTCCTTGTTGTGTTTTCTCAGCCGGGCCGCCTGCTCTGAGCCTCAGTTTCCCCCTCCGTGCAATGGGGGTCTCACTCGCATCTACGCCGACTGTGAGGATGGCGGAAGTGAGGGGCTTGGAACGGCGCCCGCCGCAGAGCAGCGCCCAGGGTCACCCCACGTGTGGCTTCACGGCGAGCTGCGCCCTGACACTGCCCGGCCCCTCCCAGGCTGGGACCGTTGCAGCCGCGGGCGGCCGGGAGGACTGGTTTTCTTCCTCTTCAAAACACTTATCTTGCTTATCTTGCCCAGCACATGGCAGAGACAGCTGGGCTAGGTCTGGTGACAAGTGCTGACACCGCGTCCCCTCGCCCGGGGTGTCCGGCCGGGCCCCGAGGGGCTGGGGCTGGTGATGAGTTGGCATTCACGGGCGGGAGGCTGTCAAGGGTGCCCCGGCCCACTCCTCCCCCGCAGACTGCAGGCTGGCCGCGCAGGGGAGGGAGGAGGGGAGGGAGGAGCGCGCTTGCATAATAGGGGAACACTCGGTTCTTTCAGGCTGGGCGCGAGGGAAGCTTTTGTGCTGCAGTGTGCAGGCGGGGGCGTGCTGGAGAGGGTCCTGTGTGGGGGGGGGGGGGGGAGCTCCCCAGGGAAGGGCCGCTGGGAGGGTGACTTTGCTGTTTTCCAGAGAGGGGAGGAGGGCGCCAGGGAAACCACGCAGGGCAGGGACAGGCGCCGCAGGCAGGGCTGGGGCCGAGCCTCGGCCTACAGAGGTGGTTCCTCCGCCGGGGCCCTCGGGGCCACTTCCCCCCCACCCCGGAGACATCTGTGGCCGTGGCAAGGAGTCTAACCCGCACCTTATTGATCCAGGGTGTGTGCTGGAGCCGCCACGGGGACCTCCGCCCGAGCCCAGCTGGCCGCGAGCGGGGACGCAGCCCCCGTGGCGAGGGGCTGAGGTGGGTCCCGGGTGTGCTGACACCTGCCCGGCGGCCTGGCTGGCTCTGCTGTCCGTCAGGGGACGAGGGGGTGGGTGACGACACTCACCTACCTGGGGATTCGAGGGCTGGAGGGGGTTGGCTCCGTGACTCCTGGGGGACGTTGTGACTTAGGGTGTGATGTTCGTGCCCCCGACTGGCTCATGTGGGGCAGCACAGGGCGGGCGGGTGGCTTTGCTGTCTCTCCTCGGGGCTTTGCAGGGCCTCCACTCCGTGCTGGGCTGCGGCAATGAGCGCATAAGCCGTGTGCTCGGAGTTCAAGCCTGCGGGTACACTGACGCGTCCACGTCCCGATAAAGGCACCGGTGCCGTTGGGGTGCACAGCGTGCCTTGACCCCCACTCCTCCCCCACCCGTGCCCTTTGCATGGGATTTGGCACTTCTCCCCAGAGGGGAAGAGCACGTCCCCACCCCTCGATCTGACGTCTGGCCGTGTGACCTGCTTTGCCCAAAGGAAGCAGAAGTGATGCTGCACCTGTCCTGACCTCCCCCTTAGGGACCTTGTGCAGTGCTGCGCTGCTGTCACCGTGCGAGACAAGCACGCCCTGGATTTTGCCGGGGGTGGGGGGGGTGGGGGTGGGTTGTCTAGGGAGATCAGAGGCGGGTGGAGCAGCTCAGCCCGGCCCAGCTGGAATCAGGCGGCCCCCAGCCGCCCAGCAGCTGTGGGAATGACTGAGCGTGGGACAGGTCTTTTGTTATGCAGCGTGGTGGTGGCCATAGCTAAGGGACACAGTCGCGGGTGGTAAGTGCCATCGTTAACCCCATTCTATAGAGAAGAACAACACTGAGGCCCAAAGAGGCGAAGAAGCCATCTCAAAGTTACAGAGTTAATGTGGTTGAGCCCAGACAAGACCCGAGCTGTGTGGACTCCAGATCATTCACTCATTCATTG